AGGATATTTCAAGATACAATGAAAATCGTCCTTAATTATAATGGTATAAATATTAAAAAAAAATTTCATCGACTTTTAATTAAAAACTACCTGCCCCTGTCTAAAAATATTCATTCAAACTCGCTACCATTTAGTAGACAGTTTTTTTTTTTTGGTTTTAAAAAGTATGTTTTTATTAATAATAATACATATACATGAAATAAGTCAAAAACATCTTAGAAAATAACTTAAACAGAATTAATATAATATTTTGTTTACGCTTGGTTATAATGCAATATAAATCTCAGCATATTTTTATTTATAGAGTAACTATTTAAATATAAAGTTTTTATCGTTTTTTAGGATGTCTTGCTACATTATTTAATTTTTAGATATATGGAAAAAAGTAAAACCATACCAACATAATTTTACCTTACAAACTAATAAAAATATAAAACTAAAGCTTAAAACTACTAATATTTACATATATACATTTAAATGGAAGTGAGGCCTATAGTAGCCTGTAGATATGATGACTTATTAAAGTGGACATAAGTCAATTTTTCTGTAAATTTCTTCGAAATTTTTATTTATGTGAGCCATGATATATTCTTTAAAGCTGTTTAAAATGTCATTAAGACTTTGAAGATTCGGTTGTGTTGTTGGGCCAGACAATAGAAGTTGTTCTGTTTGATGTTGATTATTTTGATGATCTGTACCTGATTTTGCTGTATTTGCGTACGAAATATTTGGATTGACTAACCTGCTGATTTGTTCAATTTTTTTAATTCTTAACTGTCTTTTCGCTGACATTACCATTTTTTTCTGTCCATTGGCATATTTTAAGTATGGGCAGCAACCGTATGAGGCAGGATGTCCATTCTCTCCGCAGTTGGCACATTTGGTGAGGGATCTGTCGCTGTTTTTTGCGACAGGGCAGTCTGCATCTTTGTCATGATTTCCTGCGCATCTAACGCAGCGTTGTTCGTAGTTGCAGTTGCTGCTTGAGTGTCCTACCTGTTGACATCTGGTACATTGAAACATCTTTTTTCTTCTCAGTCTCTCCCATTTTATTGGTTGGTGGAGCAGTCTTTTTTGTCTGGTTAAACCAGCAGTCTTACTCTCATTTGAGCATTGTACTAAAAAGTGATACAGACTTTTATCTTCTTTGTTAAACTCTAGTTTACTTACTTTGGTAATTTTAATATCAGGTAGTTGTAGATCTTGTATTGCTTCGATCACGTTATTCACGTCAAAACCACCATGTATTCCTTTTAGTACTAGAGTCTTTGGTTTTTCGTCCCTTGGTGTGAAGGAATAGAATTCCATTTTCTTAATTTTAAGAACATTTTTAATTTTGACGAATGTGTCTTTGTTGTTTGCGTAAACGTCCACTAGTGGTTCATTGATGTAAGATTCTCCCACGTGTTTGATCCAATAGGAATTTTTGTCGACGCCATTGTCGTATAATGTTTTCAGTAATTCTTTTATTTGTATACCTTTGGTATGTATTACTGGAGGCTTGACGTTTGTTTTAGTAGTTTTAGTCACGTTAGATGTCGTTGTGTTCTCAGAGTTATCGATCGTGGATCTACGATAAGAAGTATTTTTATTTATCGGTTTTCGGAAAATTTGATCTTGAATTGGTTGAGCGTCGCCATCTATTGACGCTATGTCAGGATTTGAGATTTTTTCAAATCTGTTTGAGATGCTTGGCCCGGCATTTTCCGATGGGGGAGGTTGTTTACTGTACCTCCTTGGATGAATAAACCCACTGTCAGAGGGTTCTTTGTTTGATGTTGTTCTCTCTCTAGAGAGAGAGCGAGATCGAGTTAGGTTTGGCTTCGGTGTGACAATATGCCCAAAGAAAGTTTTACGCAGTAAATTTGTATTACAAATTTGATCTAAATCTTTAAGAGATTTTCGTAAATTTTTACCATAAAGATCTTCGTCAGAAGCATTTTAGAAAACTTCCTTTTTGTGTGTACAACTATTGGCTGGTTGTTGCTAGAACTTGCCTCAGATTTTTTAGCATTCTCGGCCATGGCCGGGAAACTTTTGTTTGTCACTATTCACTTATATATTTTTATTTTTATTTTCAGTTCAAATAATTACTAAAGTTTTTCACTAACATTAATATTACTGTTTATGTGTTAACAAACAATCACTGATGTTAAAAAATTATTATGAAGAATCACATATTAAAATGTTAATTCGTAGGAGCAAAGAGGCGATATATGTGCTCTGTACGAATGTCAGAACGGAACTGAGATTTAGTAGACAGTCCCATGGCTAAGCGGTACAACGCTTGTCATGCTTGCTTGGGACTGGTGAGGCGTGAGTTCGAATCCCGGTGTGAGCTGAAATTTAGTTTTCAGTTAACATCGGTACTTATAACTCACGCCGGGCTGTACAGGCTTAGTAGTGTATCAAGGAGTTAGTAATTAATAAATTAAAAAAAAACCGTAAATGTTACTTAAAATTATTATTGTACTAAAAATACTAAATTTTTCATTTTGGAGAATTTTAGCATTTTCAAATGGGATTTTTTATGAGTAAGTTATTCAAAGACGGTCAAAGGAGCGTTATTTAACAAAGGAAGGAACGTGAAACGACGGTAAATCGACAGTGACACGACGATGAAACAACAGCAAAACGACGGTGAAACGACTTTGGATTCACTCCTATTTTACTGTGTAACAAAAGTGCTTTGACTGTCAAATATACAGATCACTATACAATTATGAACTTTTTACAATGGTTTCACTCCATAGTTGCCATATAAAAATGTCGTTTGAACCATTTTACCAAGGTCTAATGATCTGATATATACCATATTTTGACAGTAGTGAAATGAAACAGTCACCAATGTTTCACCGTAAAATCACTACTGTAATACTAAGTTCTCACTGTTGATCATAGAGGGAACTACCGACTTTCCATAGTATTTTCACCGTGACCACAAAACCGCCAGGGTTTCCATTTTAACAATGTCTGATAAGGAATCCCATTTTTTCTCGATGATCTTATTCACTAATCTTTTAGGTACATTTGTGAAAAGAGAGACCACATCCAGCGATATCAAAATATAGTTCTCCGGCAACCTGGCATTCCTTATGAACCTGACAAACTCAGTGGAGTCCTTCACATTGATATTATTTGGACCAACTAATGGAGACAGTAATTGATGTATATATTTACCCAACTTATAACCTGGACCTTTGATACTACTTACAACCGGTCTCAACTTACATCCTTCTTTGTGAACCTTGCGCAGTCCATAGATCCGTGGAGAGACAGCATTGTGCATCTTCAAAGCTTTGGTTCTAGTATTATCTATAGCTCCGCTTTTTTCAAGATCGTTCACCAGGTTATTCGCTACATTCTGGAACTTTTTTGTTGGATCCTTGTCTATTCTTTTGTACACTGTTTCATCACCAAGCATCAGATTCATTGTCTCGACATACTCATCCCTCTTCATCACAACCGTGCTGCCACCCTTATCAGCTCTCATTACAATCACATCTTTATTCTCCTTCAAGAATTGTTTAGTTCTAGAAATATCTCTTACCAAGGAAATCCATTTTTCTTCAATCAAATAGTCACTCCTATTATAGAAATTCGTGATCGAGTTAATCACTTTTAATCTATAATTATTCCTAACATTATCTACAACTTTAGGATCCGTATCATCAACGTTAATTCTTGGGATTCCATATTCTATATCTTTTATCAATGTAAGAATCGGTATTTCTTTTTTATTCAGTGGAATACCTACTTTCGGAGCAAGGTTAAATACTCTGGCACAATAATCCGGTAGTTGAAGGTCCGTAAAATTGTACAGTACGTTACGTTGTTGTCCTTGAGCAATCACCTCATGACTATTTAATTGTAGTTTATTCAATTTCTTAACATTCACATCCCTAGTCTTACAAAAATGCAAATTAAATCTACTCCGATTGATCTCACAACATCTAATATACACACTAGCTGGTAATACTTCCTGTAACCTTTATTTAATTTGACCAACTCGGTTTTCTAGCTTACTAAGTTTCCACAGCGTTATTCTTATTTCCAGCTTCAACGTAGACATTCTAAACTTGCTCATTATTTTCTCAGCTTCATTTATAAATGGATTGAACTCACATTGTAGTGACCAAATACATTTGAGGTTATTTTTAATGTGGCTCGGTATCAACTGATTTACTTTGCATTTCAACAGAAAGATTTTTCTATTATATATGTTCGCTAGTTTCTTAGTAGTAGTTGCCCACTCTTTGACTAATAACCTGACCTGGTTGCCAAACTCCTGTGACAAGGTGTCAAAAAATCCTCTTGAATAATACATAATAAGTTCATTGGATCCTTATGATAGTATACTTGATAAATTTTAATTGGAGGTTATAGGATCATCAAATAAAACACCAGGAAATTTAATTATTTCTTGCAACTTTGTTATCATTTGCAAAGTCTATTTAAATAACTAATTGTGAATAGAAGTTATAAAATTGTTCATATTTCTGGAAAAATAAAGTTTTTAGTTCTACAATGACTGACTTAATGGAGTTTATGAGTTTATTAATAAGATTATCTCGATAGATATGGACTTTATCTAAAACCGAAAGAAACCCTTTTGTAGAAAATTTAAATTCCTACAAGCTTGTTTTAATGATTTTTTGTCCAATTTTAAATACCGTAACAAATATTTCAAAAAACTATAATTTTATCGAAAAATCTTCAATTGAAAAACTTCGATTGCCCGTCGGCACGTGTTGTTTTCGTTTAAAATCAAAAAGCAAAATTTTTCCCGTAGTTTCTCTTCCTAAGGAAGAATTTTTTTGGGCGCCGCAAAAAATTTAATTTTTAACGACCACCCTAATGAACAGGCATGATCATTGATCATGTCTAATTTCAGGCCTGAACGTACATGAACAGGCATAGTCAGGTCTGATCATTTTTTCCCGGGGAGACACTAACACTGCCAAGATAGCCAGTAATACATATGGTTCATGAATTTCCTACCAAAATAGTTTCTCTAACGTTCGTGTAGCGTTGCGGTTAGATTGTAGTCTCGTGTGCGTTAGGTGTTCAAATCTCGATTAGAGCGATAGGCTTTTACACTTTCAACATTAAGTTTTGTAATCTTAAAATTTTTTCCACCTCGATGTTCGCTGTACTATTTGAAACTATAAAAATTAACCGGAGTCCGAGTGAATCTTGCTGTTTACTTTTTTCCGTGCACGATGTCATATTAGTTAAAAAAGATAAACACAGCAACCTCTCCGGCAATTAATTAATTTTAGATCTCAACCATCAATATCTTATACTATTCATTGCTAAATTACTGTTCAGCCTCTGCACGTAAAGTGATTGGCTGACACCAAGTTGTCAGGCGATCTATTGGAAAATGACAAGGTGTACAAAAAGGTGACATTGCAAACATCATTGCGCTTAATCAGAATTGGTCATGCAAGAATATCAGATCTGATCGTACAAAGATATAATCAGTCACTGAGGTTTATGTCCGATATCTAAATTCCTTTTATACATAAAGCATGATCATGCACGATTCGAGCTTAGTCATACCTGACATATGCTTGATCGAATATGGTCATGCATGCAGTTTTTTCCCGGGTGAGCATATACACCGATATAAGGCCTAATATGGTTGTATCAGTGTCGAGTTAGACATGTCTTGAAATGCTCATGTATGGCCTAATAACGTCGATGTTTATGCTAAACCATGTATAGACTTGTTAGTCCGTACATGGAAAAATAAATATTTCTAACATGGTTAATATAGCTAGTAACATGGTAGATTTTCATTCGACGCCCAACACTTTGGATGAAAATAACCTTCCAGACTCGAATCCAACGTCGTAAATATTATGTATAAATGAATAAAAATTTGACATGTTTATATTGAATTATTTTTGTGTTAATACACAATCCTGAATAAGTGACGGAGATAGAACGAGTGACAGCGACTGCGAGTCTACGCAGCGATAAGGATAGCCATACGATGATAACTATCAATAAAAGTTTCATTAGTCAATACTGCAGGAGAAGAGGTAACTAAAAACTGTCGTAGGTCCGTTGACTGTTATACGGACCTAAGTCAGCTATTGACTGGGATGAATTCCATTGGAAAACGACTACTAGCATCGCCAACTTTAAAAGATAAAGAAATTGATACTTCTCTGTGAAGGAGACGATACGAGGATGGGCTGTCAACCGATACGGACGCGCTTTTGCGCGCTGCGCAACCTAAAATTTATCTATTACGTAATTTTGTCGCGACTTATTACTTTAGAACTATTATAAAATTGTAGTAAATTATTTTATAAAAAATCTGTATTGAATTTACCGCACAAAGCTCTCTCAAGCTGTCACGACGACGACAACGCTCTGTTACTTCGTAAGCCGACGTTTTTGTTCAGTCTTGAATCCAGCGTTTAGAGTCTATGTTATACTTTTACTGTTGCCGATTTATTATTTGAGTACTAAAATAACACGCAAGGATTCAATGCTTCACGAATTTTTAATGATAAGCACATTAGTTCGGTCAAATTAGACCAATAGATAGGGGTGAGATTACAAAAATTCATATATGGCTGAAAATTGAAAGGATTGTTCAATACACTATTATAAATAAAATGTTAAACGTCCTCATTGATCCGGCATAAGCAAAAGAATTTACTTGAGGTCAAAGGTCACAAAATCGCATTTTTCGCGATTTTCAGCAAAACGGTAAGTTTTATCACAAAATTAGCTTCGACAAAATTGTAGATCAGATAATCTATACTTGGCCGTATGTAAACCTCTCATAATTTTTGAACGGCTTGACCGATTTCATCGCGGTTAGCGTCATTCGAAGAAGCTTGACCAAATTTAGATTTTGAATATACTTTGGACCGACTAGATTTTGAGAAATCTCAACAAAAGTACAAAAAAAATTTTTTGAAATGTGGTTTTTCTCTAATAACTTTCAAACAGCTCGACTGATCGATTTCAAAGACTAATCAGCTCTTAACATCAAGAAACCACCTCGATCTTCGCCAGCCTGGTTGAAATTGGTTAATTCTTTCGGGAGTTATCGTTGTCGAAAGAAAACCGAAAAAGTGTTTTTTCGGAATTACTTCGAAATTCCTTGTTCGATCAATTTAAACTTAAATATTTTTAATGAGGCCTTAAAAACTACGTCGAATGCTGCTATTCGAAAGTTTGATGCTGAAAACGATAAAAATGCTGGGACTTGGATAGTTTCTGGTGTTCAAATTATTTTAACAACTTCGTTGTTATTAATTATGTTTATTAATAATTATATATATCACTAACTTCAATTTTACATAAATATTTATCACAGTTAAGTTTATTTATTATTTATTCGAGGCTAGGATCACAATTAGTTAGCAAAAACGCATTAGAAATTAGATAAAGCTTGGTTATTAGGCACGTGCAAGCCATGCGGTCGAAGGCCAAGATTTCAAAGTAGCTGCACACAAGCCAAAAAGCACAAAATAATGAAACTGATAACTGCAGGATAAATGAAAATAATTACTGAAACAGATTAAATTAATATTAGAATGATTTAAAGCACGATTAATTGATTAAAATTAGATTAAATGCGATAGATTTGAAGATGCGATAGATATAATAGGTTAGACTGCGAGAAACAATAATAATAATAATGCGCGCCAAATGTTGGCCAGAGGGCACCTGTAGCTCTGCTGTATCGCCTGATCTGCCTCCAAGTGGCGCGGCGAGGAAACCTCAAGCGGTTTTAGTTGGTAAGATCGGTGTTGCAATGATCTGCTGCGCGAGCAATCGATGCAACGGCTGGAGGAAGCGAGGGAGATTTAAACAGCTGCCAACTGCGTGGAAATCGGTTCATTCATTCAAAAGTTATTGTGATTTGAAAATTCAAAAAATAGTATTTTATTAAACTCCGATCAGATTTTTGAGCTCGGAGAATTATAGAGTTAGCGGGAAGTTGCAGGAATGACCTTTAGGGTCAACCGTTTTCTTAATTTTTTTTTCTAAATTTGGAAAAGCTCAACATCAATCGGTAATTCATCGAGAAGCTTATCTACTTTTGCAAAGTGTCAAAATCATGCAGTGTTTTTACATGCAATAACTGGTTGTGATACGACATTTGCATTTTTCAGGAGTGGTAAAACAAATTTTTTTAAAATGTTTGAAAAACAAGATTTAGTTCAATGTGCTGAAGTTTTTGAAAAAAGTAATTCAACTCTACAAGAAGTTATCATCAACGAAATTCGCTTTCTTCTCTCCATGTATGGAGCTCCTAAAACAATTCCGTGCTTAGATGTGTTCAATTGCATGTTTCGTTAAAAATATTCGAAATAAAAAACAAGTGCAGTTAGCTTGTCTTCCTCCAACCTCAGCGGCTGCTCATCAACATCTTTTTCGGGTATATTACCAAGTTTAAGTGTGTCTTGGTTATCAGTTCGACCTAAAAGACAGGAGTTGGGAGTTGGTCGACAATTCATAAGAGCCAGTTCAATTTTACTCCTACCTGCACCAGAAAAACTACTAAACAGAATTTTTCGCAACTGTAAAAAGGAATGTAGTGCTCAATGTGGTTGCAAAAAAGTTAGACTATTTTGTTCTGCAGCATGTACAAATCGTCAAGGCCGGTCATGCTCCAATGTTGAATCACCAACAATTGAAGATTCATTTGATGCTAACCTAGAGACATGCGATGTGTCATTATTGGGGCAATTTACTTGCACCTGGGATGAAGAAGATAAACAAGGAGAAGAGAAAGAACAAGGAGAAGAAGAAGCAGAAGTTTCTGATAATTTTGATTCCGATGGATAAATTTCCCTATTTTTTTTTTAATCTACACCCCTTTTATCATTTGCAACCCTTGCCAATATTTATAATTATTCAATAGTTTCAAATTATACAGAATCACAACAGATCAGTGGAATAGGCCTACTGAAGAAACGCGCTAAGTACACTACCTCAAAGGTGACGTGGAAACGTGTGCATATTAACAGGATTACAACTCTTTCAACTTTTTGAATCGTTAAATCTAAAAAATGGTGGCTCTTAGGAAAAAAAGTATTTCGACATTTTTTATAGATAATTATCTGATCTACAATTTTTGTCGAAGCTAATTTCATCATAAAACTTACCGTTTTGCTGAAAATCGCGAAAAATGTGTTTTTGTGAACTTTGACCTCAAGTAAATTCTTTTGCTTGTGCCAGATCGATGAGGACGTTTAACATTTTATTTATAATAGTGTATTGAACAATCCTCCCGATTTTCAGCCAAGTGGGAGTTTTTGTAACCTTGGATGTCTAAATTGACCAGACTACATTGTATGAATGCTGATAGTATCAATGCGAGCGTGTTAATTAAGTGACGACGAGCTTGAAATAATGGGTCATTTCTATCATTAATTAAGAATTATTTTGCGACTTATTTTTTGTAAAGCGATTAACGAGCAAGCATTCTTGATTTTCCGACGATGTTTTGAGAGCAAGTGCGAATATGTTCACCAACCGACGACTCAATGTCGATCGCCAAATTTTTTATTTCTTGAATAAATTGATATTTTCTTTGTTAATTTTCCTGAAATATTTCGGTTAATTTCAAGTATTTTTTTTAAACATACTAGAATTGAATTTACGCGCGCAAGCGCGAGCCTCATATTTATTGCCATGATATATTTATGTGTCGTTTATGTATATTATATTCACTTTTAACCAATCAGAATGACAATAAATATTTTCAACCAATCACATCACGAATAAATTGGTTTCACATACATTTCATCTCAATTTTATTATGGGATTCCTTTCAACGACGTATATTTTAACATCGCCTGCCGACTTGAGAAAGATGTAAAATCAAGCTAGCTGAATTCGCGTTAGTAATTGATTGGAGATATTCTCTTGGCGACCAACATAATAATTATTTTCAGCCAAATTTGATACATCTGGTAAGCCTGGCTTGGTAAATCACTGGGCCAGACAAAATCCCGTCATGAGCTATGTTAGACAATCTTTTCATAGGTTTCAGCCGATACAATCGAGAATTGTTTAGAAAGTGAGCTTATTTTTGAAATCAGTATATTCGTTAAGTGCATAATGTCAGTTAAATTACCAATTATAAATTTATTACTTACTAACAAAATAAATGTCGTCGATAATTTTATAATTTGATGTGATCTGAGTCGGTCCATTATTAAATTTTTTTTGATTTTTCGATACTAACGAATTGTCACTTAAAAATTTACTATTTGATGGAGTATCTTCTTTAGGCACTCGCACGTAGATAATTTCTTTGAAATTTACAAATTTTTTACTTTCTTTGTGTGTCTTATCATTTATATCATAATTGTCGCTACTATTATAATTAGGATCATTCGGAGTAATTGCAAACCTAGTATCAACAAATTCGACTGTTAATCCATTGAAGCTGTAAGTAAATTCAACATTCTCTTTATTGAAATCAATTATTGATTCTCGATTTGTCTGGATTTTAGTCTTATTCCGCATAGCTGATTCTTTTTGTGGATGAATAATTATACCGTTTCCAGATATTTCTGATGTCACAAGATCGTTATTTTGTTGACCAATATGAGTATCTCCTACTGTTGTGTCATCATGATTAAAAATATTTTTGTCAGCTATAAAATGAGATTGACGAAAGGGTTTCAAATAATTTGATGTATACATTTGATTGGTCAAGGGATTGTATAATGAACGAAAGTGATGAATAATATACGGTTTTTTCAACCGTTCTAAGAACAAATTTTTTTTTTCACTGATCTTTTGAATTTTAAAATTTAAAAAGTGCTCTGTTATTAATCTGAGCCTATCGTTTTGAATTGATTTTAGATTTTTTTTTTTAATATTTTCGTAAGGTTCTAAATAATAATCGGAACGATCATATATTTGAGAATTTTTTTTCGTCTGAGGATCATTGTTGAAGAACCTGTTCATTTTATTGATATCCATGTCCTCTAGTCCATATGGTGAAATACCTGCAAAAAAAATTTTTTTAATGAAAATTTGTAATGGCCAGAAAATATAAGAAACTCAACTATTTTGTTGGTCAGATAAAAAATAAATTAGGAAAACGGTTGACCCTGAATATTATTATTTCGAGGTTATATTAAACGAATTTCAAATAAAAATTTTCGTTACAACAAAAGTTGTACCACTGGGAAGACACTCATCGCTTTAAGAAAAATCTGGAAAACGGTTGACCCTAAAGGCTATCCCTGTAACTTCCCACTTATTCCATATCTAAGCGCTTGAAATTGCACTGTTATGACGTTTTTGAGCTTTTCGATCTCAAAAAAATGGCTGTTCTATGCTTTTGAGCTCTTCGAGCTCAAAAGTCTGATAGACGTTTCATAATACACTATTTTTTGAATTTTCAAATCGCAACAACTTCTGAATGAATAACCCGATTTTCACGCAGTTAGCAGCATTCCATGCAGTTTTTTAAATTCTATAATATACTTTTTAACAGAAACTGATCAAACCGAAAATTTCAAAGAAATGGAGCCGTTTGAAAGTTATTCCAAAAAAACGATTTTTTGAAAACTCTATTTTCGAGATTTCTCAAAATCTATCGAACTAAATCGACCTCAATTTTCACGAAATTTGATGGCATAATACTCTTTAGATCGCTACCTATTTCGATTCGATCGGTCAAATCGTTCAAAAGTTATGAGGTTTACGTACATACATACATACATACACACACACACACACACACACACACACACACACACACACACACACACACACACACACACACACACACACACACACACACACACTATAACAGGATAAAATTACCCTGAGTCGATAAATCACCAGATATCGATAATATTACGACGCAGCACTGGCGCGTCTCGATCTTCGGGCCTAAAGAGAAAGTAGGAGGGGGTAGTTTGGGGTTATTATAGAGGAGCCGTGCATTGCAAAAGAGCGAAGTGGTGTAACCGCCAGACAGTGTGCCACGGATGAGAAGAGACACCGATCCCCGGAGCAGTTCCAGACGTAAGAAGCCAACAACATCTAGGACTTCGATCTCAAGTAGTGAGTTAGATCGTCGTTTATTCATCAAGGTATTGAATATTACTTTGTGGGCTAGAAGTGGACCGCGGTTTACTTGATACCAGGTTTACTTCTCCTCTAATTAATTGTTCATTATTTATTTTTCATTTAGTAACTCAACAATTTATTTAACTTTGATTGTTTAACGTTCGTTAGTCGGTGCTGAGTAGATCTCAAGGGGATTTTTACCCGAGAGTCACTCAGACCCCTTGTGGTGTAAATTTTCGTGAGAATTTATTTGATAAAAATAATTTACTCGATTGTTTATCAACAATTTTAAACATCTGAAAATCGGTTTTAGTTGTACATATTTTATTGAACAATTTAATAAAATAAAACCGAATAGTAAAATCTTCGAGAAAATTCTAATTGTCCTCTCACGGATCCTATTCAAGCGTCCACGGAAAGATTAGAATCCGACTGGTTCGTGCTCTACACCAGACTCAGTCGTGTGCGGGTTACTTTGCACGGATTCTGGTGCATCACCTGACTGAGTCTGGTGAAGAACACGACTGAGTCGTGTGTGCACACGACTCAGTCTGGTCGGCACACGACTCACTCTGGTGCGCACACGACTTTTCGATTATTTTACTCGATAATTTACCATGAACAATTGAATTATTATTTGTTAATATTAATTACTGCCAGATTATTATTTATTAATATTATATTATTTATTGCTAATTTAATTGGTAATCTGAAAAAAAAGACCGGAAAAAATAGACCCGGAAAATCTCAGTTTGCGGAATATCGATATTTAAAAATCGATAAATGAAAAAAATTTTTATTCACTTGTTTCAACAGATTTTTATATATTTTTGAAAACGAAATTGAAACGAAAGGATAAAAATTTTTGATATTTTGAAAAATCTCCGATATATCGACGATTAAATATAGAAATAAGAAAAAAAAATATTTTTCTTTGTCTTTGCCTATATTGGCACACATTCAACCATGTTGAAAAGGTGCAACACGATAATTCGCGTTTGTGTTGGCCTGTTTCTGTGTAAACACACATTCAAACCTTGCTAAAAAGGCACAACACGATTACCCGCGTTTGTGTTAGCCTATTTCTGAGTAAACACACATTCAAACCTTGTTAAAAAGGCACACGATTACCCGCGTTTGTTCAAATTCGTTAATAAAATTTGTTTTAAATCTATTACTGTAAGGTCTATTTTTTGCGGGTATTTTTTCCGAGTCTATTTTTTCCGGGTTTATTTTTTCCAGATCTTTTTTTTCCGGTCTATTTGTTCCAGGTCTATTTTTTTCGGAATTCAATTTAATTAATGAGATTTTGGCGCATTTGAAACTGATTTAGCCGTAGATATTCTTTTGGCAATTAATTTTCCGATTTAGATAAATTATTATATATTTATTTGTTTTACTGAATTTCTACGTAGTTAATTTATATATATTGAACTTAAGTTCTTGGATTTATTTGTCATAATTTAATTTCATCATTTTGATAAAATTCTTTATGTATTATTTATCAGCGTGAATATTGTCAGGGAATATTTAGTTGAAATTTCGTGTCGAATATTCTTAAGAATTTATTTTAATGTTGGATTCACTTCGCACATATGTATCGAAAATATCTATTTTTTATTAAACTTATTAAGGAAGTTAAAAACTATAATTCAAGTAACTAATATTTTATATTTTATCAAACATTATTCGTCAGTTAAATAACTTTTTTTATATAATTGACCTAGAAGTTCATAGTGTTGATAGTAAAGTTGAGAAAATGATAATTCATTTGTTTCGAGGTTATTGTTGTAGATGTTTCTGGATTCGCTGATTGTAATTTTGAAGCTTCTGGACTTGGTAAGACTTGGACTTGGTATGTTTTTTGATTGGAAGTTTCTTGTATTTCTAATACTTTTGGTAAACTCACTTCGTTCCCACTTCTCAATTTTTCCTCCGGGGCTACGGGTTGAATTGTAGAACTTAAAGATGACTGATCAATAATAGTGGTTAATTGATAACATATTTTTCTTTTATTATTTATCGAGTTCTGGATGTAACCCTCAGCAACTGCCGTTGACTTCCAGCCACCATGGCGTTTTATTATTGTAATATCTGCTCCTGAATCGGTAAATATGGTGACTGAAGTTCTTCGAAAGCTGTGGTCAGTATATTTTTCAGCGCTTGGAAAATTTAAGAATGTAGCGATTCGTTTCGGACAGTCAGCAATAGTATTTTTTCCAACAACTTTAGTTACAATTGCCGAGTACATTGATTATTATGATAGTGCAGAAAAAAACGGTCATGCTCAAAATTCTTCGGTCGTAAATTGATGTAATTTTTGATAATCCTCAAAAACTCTCCTTTAATTGTAAAAGACCGATCTTCGTGAGTTTTTCTATCTTTGAGGTCTACTTTTAACAACTTTCCGTCATACTCTTGAAAACTTTTGACCTTTAAATCGCAAAGTTCTTCTTCACGACATGCTGCGAGAACCCCAAGAATCGCTACAACCTGATGAGGATATACGTATAAATTTTATGAAAGTACACTGATAGAAAAACAGTCTTGATTCAAGAAACTTTTTTTCTTCAAAACTTGAACTCTTGAAACTAGATGTAGATATATTTCTTTCAAGAATTTTTGTCTCTTGGTTCAAGATAGGCGATAACATTGATTCAAGATGTCACCAACATGTGTTAAGAATGGCTTTTTTTGAGTCATTAACTTACTTATTTCCAAGAAATTTTTTTTTTGTATAAAAATTAAAGAACATTAAATTTTTGAAATATACTTTGATGACTTATTTTAAGTTTTTTAAACGATAATGTTATTTTATTTAAAAAACTTAAATGTATCGATTGAAGATAATATAGCTCTTAAGCCAAGAAAATCTAAATCAAGACAAGAAATTCTTAAAGCAAAATAATCATTTGTCTTCCAAAAAAAATTCTTAGATCAAGAAAATATCTCTTGAGTCAACATGAATTTTCTATCAGTGTAGAAGCATAGAAAAATGGCAATCGTCAAAAATATTAAGATAGTAACTTTTTTAAACAGAAGCTTCTCATCGGAAGCTTCACGGATAAATTTATTGATTTCTTCAAGCGAAAAAACTTTTGACTTTTCAGACTGGAATGCAATACTTTGTTTTTTTAAAAAAGCTTGTAATCGGAGGTATTGACTGATGTCAATATTGTGTTTGCTACTGATCGTTGATTTAAGCATTGAATAGTTTGTCGACAAAGTTGACGGTGCATATTTTGCAGCTTAATCTGCGAAAGAACTTTGTTACGTCGTGGCTAAATTAACGTTTTTTATTTTTTTTGTCTTAAAATAACACGAACTTTTATTAATTTTAAAATATATTTTTTTGGAAGTAAAATTTACAGCAGACACTAATAATGAGAAAACTCATTAGGTGTCTCGTCCGGTCTCGCCAAAAAAATTCCCGTCATTAGGCCATCTTATCTCTAAGGATTAAAAAGACCCTAAATACACAAGTAAATGGGAGTTTTATTGCCCTCTGTATTGACAGCAGTTTGAACAAGAACCTTAGAGATTTTTAAACGTTAATAGGATTAAATTTAAGAGAACAATAAATTTAAAACTTTTAAAATAAATAATTTTAAATAACTAAAAGAAATGAATATTATCATTCATAAAACAAACTAAATAAATAAATAAGTTAGTAATAATTATAAATAAAATATAAGACTTAGTTAGAAAAACTATGTGTTTGTGTGCATGTAAATGTGCTTACACGTATACCAATACATAGATATATATTAGCCATAAGTAAGAGAGAGAGGCACCTCATGCCTCTGGGCCCAAGGAAGGGAATTCAAGTGAACATCTTTAGAAAACTCGGAAGAGAGGGTAGAATCTAAGGGAAATAGACAGCTAATTGGATACTGTTTTCCCCCAAATAGTAATTTGGAAACGCCCGAAAATTTGAGTCTCAAAAGAACTTCGCATAAACTCTCTCTCATCGTCCTGACCCCGAAATGTGCGGATCGCCCAATTAGTTCAAAAAATGTAGTCTCTGGTCATCCTGACCTTGAGGTGCGCGGATCGCCCGATTAGCTCGTGACCGTGGTCACTCTCACGCAGCTAAATAGTTTATCTTAAATTAAAATCAATGTCTTGAAATAAATAGTTTATTTTAAAGTAAAATCGTAGTAGTATTTTAAATAACTTTTGTCTAAACTTCAGTAAAATTAAATAAATAATTAACCTCGTTAAATAATAAAATATTACTTAATTAAAGAACCACGTATGTCAACGTAGCAATAAAGGTATGTGTTTGAACTTATTGTAGTTTCACATGTGTTCGATTCTGAATTATTAATATAAATCTGAAACAATAGAATTTTTGTAAGAATTAAACATTTAACTTTTGTAACCTTTGTAACTAGTGTAACTTTTGTAATTTTCGTAACTTTTGTAATTTTCGTAACTTTTGTAACTTTCGTAACTTTTGTAAATTTTGTAACTTATATTAATTTTTAATATATTGAATAACATAAATTTGAAGCGAAATAATTTACTTAAAAACAATAAATCAATATCCTTTCATAATACTTCTGGGTTCCCGATCTAGTGGTTGAAAAATACCAGGATCAAAATAAATTTAATAATTTACGTTCAACGATTTGGACGTAACAACTTAATCAAACTTCTTCTTAGCTCTTTCGGATTCTTTCCAAGCAACAAATTTGTCGTACACATTTAAATACTTTGATCTTGATTTTTCCGGCGATAAACCCGAGAAAAAATATTTATATACATTGCATGCCTTAAGCGCGAAGCGCGCAGGTATGCTCTACTCTCGCCTAAAAATCGTGATTTCGATTAAAATGTGATTTTTATAATTTAAACGAAAAAAATTATGGATAAAAAGCATATTGAAATAAATAATAGTAACTATAGAACACGTTAAAAAAATTTTCTTATCGATTAAATAAGATTTCTCAGAAAAAACTCGTTTTTCTGATGAATTAAATGAATAAGAGCGTGGTATTCACGGGAGCTATGGGCTTGATAACACCACAACTTTGTCAAAAATCACTTTCACGATTTAATTTTTTTTTTATTTTATTCCTGAGGAAGTTTATCAAAACCCTTGTGAAAATTGCGTGTCAAAATAATTCCGTTTTGATACAGTTATTTTTTTTCGATTGTCAGTTCGGTGACTTTTTCTGCGATGTCAGCAGCCATATATATTATTTTTCATAAACAGAATTGAAATAACTATAAACAAGCAGAAACTATACATACATGGTGGTATAATTACTAATTGTTTTATCATTTGTTGATATTTTTCTTTAGTTCGACCTACAGAGGGGATAATACTACTCGCGGGAAAATTCAAATTAAAAACGAATAATTTTTGTTATGGTCTAAAGAATTTATGTATGACATGAGCGCTTAAGGCATGCTCATTTGGATCTTCCAAACATTTACATATATATTTACGTATCAATTGGTTATATATAATTAAATATATAAAATGGCCAAATATAATCATATATAATTGTATATAATTACATATAACAATATTTGATTATATATTGATTACATCTAACTAATTATTGAGTTATTCTATGGATACAGTATTTAATATGGTCCTACGCAATTCTCTATAACCAATTAAAATGCAAAAAAAATGTTAAGATATAATTTTACGGCTATAACACCAGCGGTCACCGATCCAACTATTAACCCTGCACAATGCTACTTAACTTTGGTGATCTCCGTGCATCCTGAAGTTTCTATCTGCTGTGCTCCTGTCTTAGGGGTCGTCCACATATTACGTCACACGTTTTTTCGCAATATTTTAACCCCCCGACGCCCTTGTCACGCTTGATCACATTTAAATTAACCCCCCTACTAATATTATGTCACACCATACAATAACCCCCCCTCATTTTTAACTTTCCGCTAAGAAAATTGAAAATTTTCAAAAATCGGGAAGTTATTGTTTTCACCCCGTTTTTCGAAAATCGTGTTTTCATCAGATCTCGACGTTTTAAGGTCCTAGGAAGCTTCTCTGACTATTCCCGCGATGGTGTCCGTGCCGCTGTATGTATGTAAGTGTGTGTGTGTGTGTGTGTATGTATGTAAACCTCTTATAACTTTCGAACGGCTTGGCCGATCGGATCGAAATCGACGGCGATCCAAAGAGTATCATTGCCATTAAATTTTGTGAAAATTTGAATCGATTCGGTTCGCTACATTTTTAGAAATCTCAAAAACAAAATTTTCAAAAAATCGTTTTTTTGGAATAACTTTTAAACGGCTTCACCGATTGATTCTAAAAACTAATCAGCTCTTAACCTTAAAAAACCACGTCGATTGCCACCAGTCCCATCAAAATCGGTTAATTCGTTCGAGAGTTATCAAAAACGAAAAATTTCGAAAAAAGTGTTTTTTTCACATAAGCATTATTTATATTTGCGGATCGTTTTTGACGAAATAAAATAATTATTAGAGCCCAAAAAATCACGTCAATCGCCACCA